TCGTTTAATATCTTTTCGCGATATTTAACTATATCAACAATATTTCGTTCGACTATTTCACTAAAGACCACAGCATAATCAATATCATAAATGTTCGCAAATTGTATTTTGTCAGTTAATTTACATTTTAAACAGAATGTAGCTGAATATTCAATATCAGATTGACATGATAAACATACTTTTCTTTTTGTAAATAAATTTTCGACTAAACAAAAAATAGAGAGAAATTAAAAAGCAATAAAAAGGTATCTGTTATTAAGTTTACGTTTAAAGCGAGCACTTTCGTTATTTAATCAAATACAATAACTTACCATTCATATATCACAAATGCGAGTTTAAAGATGTTGGTAAATTATTAGGCTGTGGCAAATAGGGGTGTCACTTTAACTTTAACTTTACGTTTAAAGTAAAATTTCGAATTGTTTAAAATCACTATATAAAGAAGTTTAAAGCAACTTTAAACAACTTTAAACTTTAACTTTTCGTTTAAAGTAAAGTTAAAGTGACACCCCTAGTGGCAAACCTGAACCGATCAATTTCAACATATTAGTTGAATATGTTTTACATAATTTTGTTTGTCGAAAAGCACGAAGAAGATTCGTGCAAAACTCCTTTGTAGATATATTAGTATATGGATGAAGAGGTAAAGCAACTTGTTTATTATGTGATAAAATAAGTTCATTTATTAAATTAAAATTATCATTTAATGTATCATCATTTGAGTCATCCGCTTCTGTATTCTCAATAAACTCTGGTGAAATAAGATCAAAATCAATATCATAATTGTCATAAGTTGTATCAATTGTTTTTGACGCACTTAGTGTTTCACTATTTAAAACATCACACTCAGTGGAATTTTTTCTTTCAGAAATAACATAAGATGATAAACCATTTACTAGATTGATAATTGTTTGTTTTCGAGCAACATTATTTCTTGTTAAACGTCGCTGTTCGTTGCGATCTTCAGCAGTCTCCATAGCCAATGTGAGCTCTACGTTCATTTGATCTAAATCAATGAATATCATACAGTATATAAATGGCAGACTCTCATATTACCTTTTCTTAATATTTACCAACTAAAACATGTTTAACAAGTACTAAACAAAAAAAGATGAATCTTTTTCAAACTTCTATACAAAGATATTTGAAACGCACACTTTTTACACTTTTGGATAGGATATAATAATTGTTTCTTGGTTTTGTATGGAAGTATTATCTGATTTTATCTTAATCTTCTACTCAAGAATGTTATTGGTAAATTCACATGTAGTATCGAATGGTAGATGTCGCTTAAGAACAGCGATCGCTACACTTGGGCTAGCGTTATTATGCATTATTTATATTTAATTAGCAGTGGAACCGCTAGAAGAAGGAAAGATTTTTGAAATATATGCTGTATATTCAGCAAAAAATTATCTAATTAACGTGATTGTGTATTGAATATTCAGGAGTTTTTCTTGTTAAATCGTTCTGATTGATATTTTGTTTTTGTGCAACGTTATTTTTTAACGGAGACAAAGGTTAAGCGCCCTGGTTTTAATATTTATCTGTAGTAGATTAGCCAAAGAATGTTAAAGACAAAAAAAAATATTCAAATCTTGAGCGATATCATGCATATAGTTAGAAAATAACTTTTGCCAAGAGTTTAAAACGATATGAATAAGAAGAAATTGTGTAACTAGAATGTCTTTACCAATGATTTTATCGAATCTACCACGGAATCTGATGAATAAAATAGTAATAGAAGCGTAATCTCCAATCAGTTATTTTGGTTACTTCCATTATTAATTTCTTCGTGTACCTGTATAAAAAATTTTGATGAAAACTCAGTTGAAAATTAGTTATTTGATTAAAAA